GCAACCCCATTCTGCTGTGGGGAGTCCGGAAGCGTGAAGGTCTGCTCGATGCCCTCCGCCTGACAGAAGGTCCTCAAGAGATCGGAGGAAAACTCACCACCTCTGTCAGAGTGCAGACGCAGGACAGGAAGATCCGTCCGGAAACGGCGGCGGAGCTGGAGACGAACCGTGCGGATCCAAGGGATCAAAACAGCAGGGACCTCACCCTTGGTGCGCAAGGGGAAGACCGTGGTGTAACGCGAGTAGTCGTCGACAACCAGCAAAAAGTACCGCTCACCGCCCTGACCACGAACGCGGGCTGGGCCCCACACGTCCAGGTGGAGGGTCTGCAGAGGAGCCTCTGTCGGGGGGAACGAGGAGGAGTGAGGAGCGGCGCGCTGCCGCCCCTCGACGCAAGGAAGGCAAGGCGGCGCAGGCGAGGCAGGGAGGGGAGGGAGGGACCTGGGAAGACCAGACACAAGGTGGCGACGGTGCATGCCACGAAGGCGTGGCAAGGAGGGGTGACCCAGGCGGTGGTGCCAGAGAAGAGTCTGGTGCGACAGGGAACGACACTCACAGGCGTGGGCTACCAGACCTGACGCAGACACCTGACCGACAGCAGCGACCTGAGGAGACGCAGTGGTCAGTGTGTAGAGACTCGACCCCGGCCGACGGGTAAACGTAGCCAGGTGACGGCCGGTCCTGGAGCACGTGCAGATCGCCACACGCTGTCCGCCAGGGGTAAAGGTGTCAACCCACTGATCCTGGAGGACAGCGTTGCTCACCAGGTTCGTCGAGAACGAGGGGAGGTGGAAACCCGACAACGAGCCAGACGGAACCGCCGGACAAGGGAGGACAGTGGTGGACTGGGCAAGGACTGGGCCCCTAGAGGGGTCAGCCAAGGAGACTGGGACCGGTGCAGGAAGCGGTGTGAGCTCAGTACTGTCACGAAAGAAGCAACGGGAAGCACCTGAGTCAAGGGTGAAGGTGTGACAGGCCTCAGCCGGTGCGGTACCTGAGAGAGCAGTCTCTGTGGGTGCTGTACCTGAGAGAGCAGACTCGAAACCAGCCAGGACAGCACTGGGGGGAGCAAGTACAGGGGGCACCATACCAGAGAGAGCAGACTCACTAGTACCCAGGGCAGCGGGCTCTATACCTGGGTCAGGCGGCACACACAAGTAACAGTCTCCCTCGGCACTAACAGTCAATGCATACATGGCAGCAATAATAGCATCATAGTCAAGAGCAAAGACATCAACACCAGCCCTCATGAGCTCAGCCCAGCGGGGGCGCTCAACATCCGCGCCCATCTCCTCACGCCAAGCGTCGTCAAGGCGGGAGAAGCAGCGGTACGGGGTGTGGAACCTCCCACACGTCTGTCCCTTGCGGTCACCTGTGCGAATGACATAAGAACAGCGGCCACTGCCCCCCGACGTCCCACGCTGAGCAAGCCACTCACGAAGCTGCTGGGTCGTCTGGGGACGCTGCTGCTGCTGGGAGCTCTGGCCCGAGCCAGTGCCTCCACTCCGACCGCCGCCGCCACCACTACCACCGCTCCGACCGCCACCGCCACCACCGCCACCACCGCCACCGCCGCCACCGCCGCCGCCGCCACTACTGCCACTGCTTCCGCCGCCGCCCCCGCCTCCACCACCGACCCCACTCCCACCAGCGCTCCCGCCACCGCTCCCTCCAGCACCGCCTCCCCCCCCACCTCCCCCACCTCCTCCCCCCCCAGCGCCACCACCACCACCCTTGCCCCCCTTGCCCTTGCCGGTGCGGCGCCTCCCACCAGGAGCAGAAGCAGCGCCAACAGACTCAGCACCAAGGAAGTCAACAGCAGCAGCAGCAGCGTAGGAGGGAGCGAGGGGAGAGGGAGAACACCCCTCAAAGATGGGGGTGCGAGGAGCGCCACGAGCAGCACCAACAGCTACAATGCTCTTTTCGGCCGCGAGCAGCTGCTCCTCTAGGAGGGCGACTGTGAGCTCAGTGGGACAGCGAGCAAGGAAGTGGTCTCGAACTGAGCGGAGGGTGTCAGGGAGACGGGTGACTATGAAGTGGAGTGTCCAGTACAGTGGAGGGGGGTTCTTAGCGCAGAACTCGGTGGGAAGGGCGGCACGCAGGCGAGCATCACTAGTGCGAAGGTGGGTGATAAGATCGGCGACTGTAGTAAAGGTGGACAGATCGGGGAACAGGTACGGCAGCATGAGGCGGCTAAGCTCGGCTGTGGCAGGCGAGGAGTAGCGAGCAACGACAGCATCGTACAGGGCCTTAGCGGATTTGCAGTCGCCAAAATGCTCGAGCTCAGCTAGCGGCAGGTGACTACGAATGGCTAGGCGAGCAGCTGCGTCACGAGTCTGCCAGTGGGAACGAACACTAAGCTCGGCTGTGGCAGCAGGAGCAGCGGCAGCACCAGACGCGTAGTCATAGAGGGAGATGTGGTCCGTGCTATTGCTCATAAGATACAACTGCAGGTCGTCGAGCCAGGAAGTGAACTGCACGGGACGGCCCTCAGCATCGAAGGAAAGAACGCGAATAGAGGCCATAGCTCAGGCGTGAGGGCACAGCAGAGCAGCGGCAGCAGCAGAGGGGACGCAGCAAGCGGGCAGTGAGGCAGCGGGCGGCGCTGCGAAGCAGGTAGCGGGCGGGCGGGCGGCGCTGCGAGCGGGCAGCGAAGCGGGCGGGCCGCGAAGCGGGCAGCGAGCGGGCGGGCGGGCTGCGAAGCGGGCAGCGGGGCGAGCGGGCTGCGAAGCGGGCGGGCCGCGAAGCGGGCAGCGAGCGGGCGGGCGGGCTGCGAAGTGGGCGGGCCGCGAAGCGGGCAGCGGGGCGAGCGGGCTGCGAGGCGGGCGGGCCGCGAAGCGGGCAGCGAGCGGGCGGGCGGGCTGCGAAGCGGGCGGGCCGCGAAGCGGGCAGCGAGCGAGCGGGCTGCGAAGCGGGCGGGCCGCGAAGCGGGCAGCGAGCGGGCGGGCGGGCCGCGAAGCGGGCAGCGAGCGGGCGAGCGGGCTGCGAAGCGGGCGGGCCGCGGAGCGGGCAGCGAGCGAGCGGGCTGCGAAGCGGGCGGGCCGCGAAGCGGGCAGCGAGCGGGCGGGCGGGCTGCGTGGCGGGCGGGCCGCGAAGCGGGCAGCGAGCGGGCGGGCGGGCTGCGAAGCGGGCAGCAGGACGAGCGGGCTGCGAGCGGGCGGCTCGGCGGGCGGGCGACACTGCGAGGGGCGCGCGAGGGCGCTAGTGAGGGGCGCGCGAGGGCGCTAGCAAGGGGCGCGCGAGGGCGCTAACGAGGGGCGCGCGAGGGCGCTAACGAGGGTGCGCGCGAGGGCGCTAACGAGGGGCGCGCGAGGGCGCTAACGAGGGCGCACGAGGGCGCTACGAGGCTAGGGCACGGGGTAGCGTGGTAACCGCATGCGAGCGGTGGTGGGCCCTTAAAAAAAACGGTCGGTAGGTCCTAGGGACCTCCTGCTCTGAATACCATTTCAGAATAGCTAGGCAAGAATGGTTGAACTAGCAGAAGTTTGGGTACAAATATGAAACCCTAGTTGGGGTTGTACCCCATATTGGCTACCCCACTACAGCCTACAAGCATAATACAGTTTAACAGTTTCAAGTGATTCTTCGCACGGTCGAACGTGCGTAAATATTGTCAGTTAGACGAACCCATTTTCGGGACTAGACGAACGCGATCGGGTAATCTTCCATGAAAAAAAATCCCTTGGCAAAACCACTCCTGCAATTTTCGCAAAATTGTAGAACTACGGGAGCAAATGAGGGCCACGTGTGCAACGAGCAATCACCAAACCAGTGCCTAGAGCAATTCTCTCACAGCAGGCAGTGCATCGAGCCCTGGCATTGGTGATTTGATGCCGCGCTTCGAGGTTTTCCTAGAGAGCCCGCCTCCACCAAAATTTTCAAAAAAAAAAAATATATATATATATATATATATATATATATATATATATATGTCAGAACGAGTCGTGTTTACGATGCGTTTTGAGCCCTCTAAACACCTCAGTTCTAGGTCCAAATTGCTTCCATAACGCGTTTAGGCGTCAAGGACTGTTTTTACTTCAGTTATAAAAGCCCCAAAATATATATAACCATCAGCGTTTGGGCAAGACCCGTAAAGTTGGAAAATTCGTAATGGCATAGTTCTCTCGCTGACATGTGGAATGCATCAGACTTCGCGCCTGAGAGCGCCTGACACTTCGAACGCGTCACATGTTCAGAATATATCCCTTATAATCCTTGATGCGCAGCGCGTAGTCGACAAGAAGATCTATACAGAAAAAATGATTCCAACCAACTGCTCTCCGCCTGCCCAGCCTCGTGAGTTCGAAAATTCAAACCACCGACTCCTGCCCAGCGCTGATGGAACCATCGACTCCATCTACCTCTGGCTCTCGACTCGTGCGGTAAGTGTTTGGTTTCTGTTCACTCTCACGTGTTTGTGCTGTGGTTTTGACAGGTTGGACTTCCCCGCGCCGAAGAGTCTGTTGCCCATCGCACCGTCAAGAACCCCCAGCTGCCTCAAATCTCAACCTCCTCACCGATCCAACAAGGTAAGCGTTCACGCATGTGTAACCAGACCTCATGTATGGCAGGATACCCCACAATGGCAGCCAGCTTGGACTTATCCAACCGAGGAGGTCTTTTCAGCGTCGATCTGCAACACCAGAGCCCAACTCAGACGAATTTACGGCTCCGATATTGCATACGTGGCTCATCAATCCAACCAGTCTCTCCGGCATGGCTGGACACGTCGACGTTGGCGATCAATGGCCCAACCTCTGCCTGTACTGATTCCAGATCTACCTCACCTCTGTTTGAGTTCGCCTCTATTTGATTTCGCTCTCCTACGGAGCTTGCACCTTCGACCCGCCATGGCCTACTCTCCCTACGCCTCCTGGAAGGACACGTGCCGCAAATCGAGCCCTCCTGGTGTGTCATCCTTTTCCCCTCCACGTCCTTCCTTCCGCCGCTCTGATCACGGTATGGCTACGCCAAAGCATATGCCTTGGCGCGTCGCCTGCATGAGCCCAAGCACAAGTCATAGCTGGCTCTATTACTGCCACGCAGTGCTTCCTAATTTTACACGCTTGTCCTCCCTTGAGAGGCAGCGTGACCCCTCTGGGGTTTCTGATGTTCGCATTGGCCTCTGCCTTTGCCGCATCGAGTCGCATCCTCACAATCTCCTTCCCGGATCCAATTCACATCCCCGTGTCGCGCACCTCTCTCTCACGAGTGTGGCTCCCTATTTCTTCCTGCCTCCACTCCCTGTTCTCTTCGTCGCTCCCGTCATGGCCACTCCTCAGGGCATGGACGCAGTTATGGCCGACAACGGAGTTACCGTCCCCTCCGTGAGCGACCTCCTGCCCGATGAGGGCCAATCGTCACCGCAGGCCAAGAAGATCTGCACGGGAGAGGCCTCGTCCTCTGCCCGACCTACGCCTGCTCCTGCCATGGACCCGGCCGCTGACCCTGAAGCAGGACCGGATCTTACCCTCACCGGACTGGAGTCCAGCGCTGCACCCGCGCCCGTGCTGGCTGGTCCCCTCTCGCGCCTGCGACGCAATCGCGACGTCGTCGGAGAGGTTGTACATAATTTGGTACGAGATACTCACTCACTGGTCACCATCATCTATCCTGACAACGTGGCTGAAATTCACCGCAGCAAGATTATCTCTCGTGTCCGCTCTGGCTTGCGTCCCGCGTTTTTCCCGCACTCTAACCGCGTGCCGACGTTTGAATCTGTTGTGGGAGAAGTCCTCCGCCTCCCCCGTCGCTCGTACACACGCCTTGTGTTCCAGCTCCCCTCTCGCGACGATGCCAGGGGATTTTGCCGTGCCTTCCCAATGACCTATCATCATAACGGCGGCGCCGTGGAGCTGAAACTCTATGATGACCCTGAACCAGATCTCACCGCAGCCAAGGCCCGAGGCGAAACGCACCTCGTGATCCGCAACGTCCCCGTTGGGTAATCGCTGAGCGGGATCCGGCGGATGCTGACGACGAGCCGCACGCGGGAAGAGCGCAAGTGGCTCTTCGACATTCGATCCTTTCACAAGGTCTACGACCCTTACGAGGAGGTGTCGCAGCCGCAGATGGTTGGCCTCCCCATCGCTGAGACGGACGACCCCTTCTTCGAGAACATCCCTGCGGTGTTGTGGCTCGAGGATGCGCAACTGCCCATGATCATCAACCTGTCCTGCCACTCGTGCGAGATCTGCACGAGTAATCATCGCACGCGTGATCACTAGTGGTTCGCGGCGACAAGGAACCGACGCCTTCCCAACCGGTACACGGTTACCGTGGCTCAGCTATGTAATATCAATGGTACGACCCTTGCTTTTTCCACCTCGGACACCTTTCCTTATCCACATCTCTTCTTTGCGCATGACGCTTTGATTAACCTCGGCACTTGTGTTTCTCCCGTTCACCACTCAAAAGCTTTTCAGGCACTCTCCCCTCCTTTGCCTGGACACGCTTGTGCTCACATAACTGCCATCAAGGATGGCGAACTCCCCCATCTTGCTGTTTCCACTCGTTCCCCTCTCTCCGTCTCTTCCTATCTATCCCCCGTTAGCCAAGCTGCTCGGACAAACGCCCGTTCCACTGGCAGTCAAAACGGACCCCGGGATCCTGTACATAGGATCCGAGGACGACGTCGAGCTCTGGACCTGCGCTTTGTGCGATTTCGAATGCGGCCCTGCTCTCGACAGCGCCTTCGAACACATCCGCTCCCCGGGCCACGGGCTGCGCCTCATGCAGGCAGAAAACCAGACGACCCCCCTGGAGACCTGGGGCCCAAGGACAGTGCACGACCTCCGCCAGCGTCCGGAGATTCTCTCCTTCCTGGCGTCACTCATGTAGCCGCGGACAAGCCAATTACTTTCTGGCTGAATGCACACCATTTCCTTGCTCTATGCCGTCTAGGCCCGGCGCTGGCCTTGTTAGACTTCCATGCTTTGGCAATGTTTTGGCTATGTGCCTCTCTGTCATATATACTTTCTTCCTTGCATCCCTTTTGGCGCGTTAGGAATCCTTTAGCGCAAAAAACTCAATCTTCTCCTATAGGCTCAAAAAGAACACATAAACTCACACACAAACTGGTCCTTTTAACTGCAACAACAACATGCTTTCACAATGCTCAACCTCCACTACACCAGATTAAAAGCCCCACCATTCCTATATATGCGATCTTAGCCCCGTGGATGTGTGCACACACGTGCACAGGGGCCTTCCATTTGTTCCAATGTTAATCCCACTAAATTTCTCTGTTCTTAACGTCAACGGCCTTAACTCTCTTAAAAAAATGGATGAGCTCAAAGCCATGTTTGTCAAGCTACCCGACATTTTAGTTCTAATTGACACACGTCTGACCACAAACTTCACTAAACTAATTCACAAGCTCCGCCCCAAAGCCTATGCACAAGCTCCCCCTACTGTCAGCGGCGGCAGGGCCGATCCAGGGGGCATCTCATTTCTTATTTTCAACCCCAACAACTCCATAATTGATCGAGCAGCCTCTGCCGACGGCCGGCTACTAATCGTACATATCCACCTATTCCAGGAACACTTCAGATGTCTCTGCCTATACGGTCCCACATATCAGCCGGAAAGGCGACGATGGTGGTGGACGCCCTGGACGCCGCACTGGACCGCCCATCTGCCACACAAACAACGTTAGTCATGGGGGATTTCAACGCTGTGACAGCCTCCATTGATCGCAACCGAGACCTTTTCACCTCTGAAATTAGAGAAGAGGCAATACTTACCGACGTTCTGGAAAAGCACGGTCTGTCCGATCCCTTCAGGCACCGCCACCCAGACGTACCCGCCTTCACATACAAATCTCCCTTTTTGGACGGGTCATCCGACGACCCCCCGTCCTCTCGACTCGACCGCATCTACATCTCCAAGCCCTGGCTCCCCCATGTCCTCGCCTTCGCCCATCAGTCAATCCCACATACCGTGTCGGATCACTCGAACTATCCTGAGATGCTGCTCGGGCTTAACAACCCCAACGCAGCTCCAAGAGCCTGGAGACTCCCTCACTCGCTCATCCTTAGACCTTTCGTCACCAAACTCACCACAGAGGTCTGCTCTCAACTCCCCCTAGGAATCAACCCCACATTTTGGGACCCTTGGAAAAAACGCCTGTGCTTCTTCCTCCGCAAACACACACGTGAAGAACGGCTTCGAGTTCAACACACCCTCACTCACCTCCAGAACAAAATGTGCCGCCTCCAACTCATCCTGGTCCGTTCCCCACGCGATCAGTCTTCTCGTGCGCTCCTGGACAAAACATCCAAGCAATTTGACAAATACATTGCTGGACGCGCAGCTGACATCATGCTCAAAGCGAAGCTGAAAGTGGAAGGTGCCAAAGAAATGGGCCTGCCCTCACTCCTGGTCGGCCTTACGTCACGCATCAAAGCGGCACTCATACCACATCTCACCCTGCCTTCCGGCGACCGAATCACAGACCTCCAGGCCATGTCTACACACTGCACTGAGTTCTATTCCTCCCTATACAGTGGCAACAACCCCACTATTCCCTCCCCAGATTTCTGGGATCACATATACCCGTCATCCCTACCCCAATCCTTACTCTCCCAACTGTCTGCCCCCATCGGAAGTCACACGTGCAATCAAATCTCTGGCACGGGGCAAAACACCTGGTTCTGACGGCCTCGCCGGCGACTACTTCCGCGCCCACACCAACCTTCTGGCACCCATCCTCCATCAACTCTTCACCTCCATTGAACACACTCAGCTGATGCCGCCTTCCATGCTGCAAGGCCGTATTGTCCTCATACCCAAGCGCTCGGACTCTTCCCTGGTTGAAAACCTCCGACCAATCACATTGATGAATTCGGATTACAAGATCTTAGCCATCTGCCTAGCAAACAGGCTCCAACTCACCTTACGATGTCTCATACACCCGGCGCAATCCGCCTTCGTTAAGGGACGGCGCATAGGCGACACTATAAATGACTCGCTAGACCTCATGGAATGGGCAGAAACTCGGCAGCTCCCCCTTCTCCTCGTCACGGTCGACATTAAAAAAGCATTTGACATGGTTGATTGAGATTTCCTTTACCAATGCCTCACACACCTGGGTATTCCCCACGAGTTTGTCGCCTCCTGCATTCTGGTACAAGCACACAAGTGCTCGTCAACAACCTGGCTGGACCCTCATTTCCAGTCAACACAGGCGTCAGACAGGGTTGCCCATTAGCTCCCCTCCTTTTCATATGCGTCATTGAAGTCCTCCACCGTCACCTCTCAGTCTCCCTGCCCGGCTTTGCTTTCGCACCAGCCCAACGACGCCTCGCCGCCTGCTATGCGGACGACATGACGTTATTCTTAAACTCGGGCACAGAACTACAGACAGCCATGCACCTCCTGCAATCATTCGCCAACATCTCTGGCGAACACCCTAACTGGTCTAAATGCTCTCTGTCGCTCTTCCATATCCCCACAACCGACATCCCAGCCACCTGTCCCATACCCATTCGACAACACAACGAGGCCGAGCGCATCCTCGTGTCAAACATTGTATGTTTATATTGTGTAGGCTGTAGTGGGTTACACCTTAGGGGGTACACAAAGTTAGGGTTTCCTACTTGTACCAAACTCTGAGCTAGTTCATTCATTCCTCGTTCAGTTATTCTGACTTGGCATTGAGCAGTCATTCACGCTTCCGGCCTCTCCACAGCAGAATGGGGTTGCTGAGCGCCGCATTGGCTTGATCATGGAGGTTGCTCGTACCTCCCTGGTTCATGCGGCTGCCCCCCACTTTCTGTGGCCGTTTGCAGTCCGATACGCTGCGCATCAGCTCAACCTCTGGCCCCGTGTCTCCTTACCGGAGACTTCTCCGACACTGCGTTGGACGGGAGAGGCTGGCGATGCGTCGCGTTTTCGGGTCTGGGGATCTCGAGCTTTTGTTCGCGATACGTCCGCGGACAAGCTCTCCCGTCGCGCTGTCCCCTGTGTCTTCCTTGGCTTTGTCCCGGACGCGCCTGGTTGGCAGTTCTACCACGCCACCTCGCGTCGTGTCCTGGCCTCTCAGGACGTCACTTTTGACGAGTCCGTCCCCTACTACCGCCTCTTCCCCTACCGCACTGCCCCGCTCCCCCCCCCGCCTCTCTTCCTCGCTCCAGGTGCTGAGGTACCCGACCCCCTCCCCCCTCAGGGTGCCGCTCCCTCAGGTGTGTCCCAGGTAGACCCGGTTGAGCCTGTCGAGGTAGCTGTTGACTCTCGTCCTGCTGGGGGTACTGAGCCTGGGGGTGCTGCGTCTGGGGGTGCTGAGCCTGGGAGTGCTGAGTCTGGAGGTGCGGAGCCTGGGGGTGCTGAGCCTGGAGGTGCGGAGCCTGGGGGTGCTGAGCCTGGGGGTGCTGCGTCTGGGGGTGCTGAGCCTGGAGGTGCTGAGCCTGGGGGTGCTGAGCCTGGGGGTGCTGAGTCTGGGGGTGCTGAGTCTGGGGGTGCTGAGCCTGAGCGTGCTACACCTGGAGGAGCCCTCTCCTCCCGGCAGCTGCAGGAGAGGTACCTACAGTACTGCCGCCTCCGGAGAGGTGCTACTGGAGCTCGTACCAGTACTTCCCCTCCTACCCAGGAGCTCCCCCCCATTCAGCAGATCCGAGAGTGGTACACGCGGCGCTGCAGTCTTCGGAGTGGTGCTCCTGGTGCTGCGGACCCTGGGGGTGGCGCTGCTACTGGTGCTGAGGACCCGGGCGTTGGGGCTGCTGCTGGTGCTGAGGACCCGGGCGTTGAAATGCTGCTGGTGCTGCGGACCCGAGCGGTGGCGCTGCTGCTGGTGCTGAGGACCCGGGCGTTGGAGCTACTGCTGGAGCTGAGGACCCGGGCGGTGGAGCTGCTGCTGGTGCTGAGGACCCGAGCGTTGGAGCTGCTGCTGGTGCTGAGGACCCGGACGTTGGAGCTGCTGCTGGTGCTGAGGACCCTGCCGCTGGTGTCT